TTTTCCTCCTTTTTCTGTAACATAGTTTGAGGGTTGAATAGTGGACATTGTGTTTGTTTGTTTGTTTTGGCTTAGGGACTTACTGGTGTGCTCCAATCACCAATCAAGGGAGCTGAAAAACATGGGCTTCCAGGAGTTGTTTCGGGTATAGCTTTGGGTGTTACTGGGCTTGTGGCAAGACCTGCCGCTAGTATGCTTGAGGTGACTGGGAAAGCAGCACAGAGTATTAGGAACCGTAGTAGAATCCAGCAAAGGTGCCATAGGGTCCGTTTGCCGAGGCCTTTAAGTGCAGGCTCCCCTTTGAGTCCTTACTCCTGGGAGGAAGCTGTTGGATCGTATGTGCTCAAGAAGCTAAAGGAGGAGGAAAAGGATGAAGAAGAAGAGGAGAGTTTAGTGATGTGCAAAGCACTTAAGCATCCCGGCCAATATGTATTGATCACTCAGAGGCATATATTGGTTATTAGGTTAAAACATTTTGGTGATCCGAGTTTCGAAGGGGTTCCAGCTGATCCAGAGTGGGATGTGCTGTCTCGGATAGGAATGGAGAGTGTAATTCTTGCGGATAATGATAGTGAGGTGGTGCATATTGTTGGAAGTGGTTTAGATACATCGTCATCGTCATCATTGTCGTCTCATGGTAAAAGGATGCCGTGGAAGAATTTTCAAGCTCCACTCCCTCTTTTGCAGACAAACTTAGACTTGAGTTGTTTAGAAGAGGCAGAGAAGTTGTTGAGAGCAATAAGGTGTTTGATGGAGACGGGAAAAGAGAAGGGGTGGGGTCGCTCCATCTATATTGTGCACCAGACAAATATCAGGTGACATAGGGCAATGCCTTGAAATGCTTTCTGATTTGTGTAAATGTATACATATAACAAAAGCAAGAATCAATGGCCTCTCCTCTCTGAAATTGCGTTTTGTATGATTTGAAAATTGTGTAAGTGCAAAACTTTTAATAGCTCAACATATATAGATAAAAATGGGGTCGCTCCATCTATATTGTTGATCGGTAAATGGTAAATATATATATATATAGATAAAAAATGGCATTACAACAACCGTCGAATGGCAAACAAAAAAAGCCAAGTCGGCAACCACAAGCTCAATTCCTCATTCGTCGAATGGCAAACAAAAAAAGCCAAGTGGACAACCACAAGCTCAATTCCTCATTCGCTAATAAAATAATGAGAGGCAAACCACAAGTTGGTTGTTCAGTTCAAACCAAATCGTACCATACATCAAAATGAATTTTCTCTCAAACTAGGCAAGTACGTTCGAAAACACCACGGATATTACACTTGATTCAATGCGTTATGAGTGTCTCGTGGCTGTTTGGTGGTTTATGCGTGCCAAAATCCATGGAAGCAGTTTTTGTGAATTGATATTTGTAGGATAAATCTATATCTTCTTCTATCTAATTATATATACTATTATAAAAGGAGAATTGATTTTTGCCAAAAAAATGAATCTGACTACCTGACTCATTAAACGAGTCGAGTTTATACGAGCCAAGTCCTTTATTTATTTATTAGACGAGTCAAGTTCAACCAAGCCTACCTGACTCATTTATTAAACGAGAACAAGTTCAAACACGAGGTATTTAGATTAAATAACTCTATGTCTACCCAAAGAGAAGCAGAAGCAACGGTAATTGCAGGCACTTCAGAAATCATATTTAAGATACCATCCTCCATATTTATATTATATACATAAAAATGTTTATTGTGCTTATTTTAGTAGTCACGTTACAAGCTAACGGCAGGCCATGAACCCTCCAGAACTTCCGCATCGCCTACCCTCACTGGGCTTCTATCTTCCTCCTGAACACCAAAGATAAGGAAATAAGTTAAAAATATATCTACCAATCACAACAGGACAGTTTACGGTGATCATGGAAATGGCTGTATGCCGATCAACTGTGCATATCAATGGACAAAGATTATTAGAAGTGTGTAACTGCAATCAAGTTTCAAAAGCAAAGACAAACAATTAAATGAAAACTTGCATTTTTCGATTTTGTCTGCCTGAAAGTTTCATCAAACCCACATGCCGAATGAAGCAATTTTGCTCCATGTTTCACGGCCTCTTCATCAACCAAGACTGTATCTGCATGATCTTCACCGGTTTTTGCATCTGGGACCTGGTGTACAAATATGATATATAAAATTGAGGTAATATGAGGCATTTAAACTTTAACAGACTTCATCTATACCAAGCAGTAAAGAAATAAAAGAAATTCCACGGGTATATGTTTAGTTTCACAACTCTACAAGCACCATCAGTTTTAAATTGCTTTTCCAATCAGAGTAAGGCCATGATTCACATGAGCATTTTTTTTTTTTTTTTTAATTTTTCAATACCTCAAACATAGCTTCTGTCAGAATATTTTCTAATATAGCTCTCAGACCACGTGCACCTGTATTCCTGGCTATTGCTTTTTGAGCAATCAATCTCATCGCATTGTCTGTGAATTCTAAATTGACCTGTGCTCAGAGAAACAACAGAAACACTAGTTTGTACTTGATTCGAACAAGTATGGAACAATGTACTTGCAAACAACAGGGTCAATCAAAACTTACATGATTCATGCTGAATATCCTCTTGTATTGCTTACATAGAGCATTTTTAGGCTCAGTAAGTACCTTTGAAAAGAGAGGAGGATCAAGAACCAAAAATCTCAAGTACGAGTAAGAAAAACAAAGGATTAAGATTAAATCGCTATAGGAATGGCTTATACTTTCACTACCTATTTAAAACATAACTATATTTACATTTTTGTTTAGCTATCAACATTGACACGCATTAGTATTCCAGAATTTGTATTTTCACCAAAGAGAAGCGCAAGGTTTTGAGTTACTCTTTAACTCATTATTGAACTTTCAAATGGAGTTTGCGCCAGAAAATATTTAATTTTGTAGACCAAATTCTTTTAAGCTACGTTAGGATTGAGGAATTTGAAATCCTTGATTTAGAATCCTTTGAAATTGAAATTTGCTACTTTCAAACTCCTTGAATGGAATTTGAAATCCTTGATTTGGAATCCTTGAAATCCTTGATTTGGAATCCATTGTCTAGCTTGCATCGATGGTGTTGGTGATGAATCTAAATGAAGTTTCATACTCGCGGACGGTGTGGTCATAAACGGTAGGATAAACAGTGGATTCAAATAACTAGGTTGAGGAGTCATTTAAAATCCTTCAAAATAAAGACTAAAATCTATCTTGCGTGAATTTGAAATCCTCCAACTTCTATTGTCATCCGAACCTATCCAAACATGTGTGGGGATTTGAACTAAATTTGAAATCTATAGATATCAAATCCCTCAATCCAAACGTAGCCTTAAGGGATTTAATTTAATACATCTTTAAGTCAAAAGTGCATGACGGATGTGTAAAATAATGTACTAACAACAAAAATTTGTTACAGGAATTTAAATACCATCCCATACACGAAGGTACTGCAGAGTTGATTTTTCGTGAGAAAACATCCAAGGTGAAACAAGAAATGCAGGCTAACAGTAACAATTGGAATACAGGAAATAAAGCTGCTATATGTTCTCGATATCCAGGAACTTCCAATAGACAAAAGGCCCATTAGTAAAGGATTTGGAAAAAAGGTTATACAATCAGCAGAAAGATGCCAACAATCAACCTCTTTTGTTTCATAGACTTCTATTGATAAACATGAAACAATTTACCAAGGCAGGATTTACTTGCTACAAATAATTCCAGTAAAGTTGTATACCTTGGAAGTAAGAATGATGAAATTATATAAGAATTAAGTCTATCTTGTTGCACGGACACATATTAAGAGAAAGGTTACCTTCTCAGAGGTCATACGTTCTTACCAGACACAATGTTGACTCTCAATTTACATTTCCTAAACCCGAAGTGTGGAAGATCTTAGTATTTTTTTCTTTTTATTATTTTTCTAAAAGTTCAGAAAATGGGTTTTGAGGCCTGAAACCAATTCTCTTTCGAAAGAGTTTCAGCCAGCATAGCTGCAAAAGGCACACACAGATGCACAGGCAGAAATCCAGGCCCTCCAGCTTATGAATCACACATATGATGCCGAAAAATCTTTTTTGCGCCAACGGTAAACAGTAAGCACACCTTAATAAGTTGGTCCTCATCAAGAGCCAATAAGCTCACGACAACAGGAAATCGCCCAACAAATTCAGGTATAAGACCATATGCAGTAAGATCACCACTCTCTACCTGCAATGTCAAACGGTCATACCATACCTTAGGTATATTAAGACACAACTGTACAATGTGAAAATTTTGACAGGACAGAACAAAATATGATTATATAGACAATCATCGCTCACGTGTTCTAGTAGAGATGAGGCTGCAGCAGAATTCAATCCAGCAAGTCTCAAATTAGCGCGGACAGGTGCTCCAAAACCGATAGAGGAATCTTGACGTCTAAGACAAAACAGTGAATAAATCCAAAAGCTGGCAAATATAAATAATATAACAGGTTTAGTCAGTCAAAAGTATTGCACTACCTCTCAGAAATGGTCTTCTCTAGATCAACAAAAGCTCCACCACAAATGAAGAGGATATCTTTTGTATCTATCTGACATTTAAAATGATGAAATGAAAGACAAATAAGTTTCTGTGTAGAAGACTTTAAAATACAAAACCCTTCATATATGCAACATTTTCGTTTGCAGAAGAAAACTTCCATCCATTGGTGTCACGAATATACAGTTAATACTGATATAACTCACATTTTCCACAAAAGGAATATTCAACTATTCTGCTCAAGAAAAAGAAAAAACAAAGAGCCATTGTTAAACCACTGAATTACAAACCAGTACGTTGATTTCATTTATAAACTTTGTATGGCTTCTGCTGATTAAAGATGATAAAAAATTCTAGATGAAATGAAACATAGGGTTTAATTGTTAGAGTAGTCAAGTTTCTCATATGGTTTGAATGACACGTACTACTCAATGCCATTGTTAAACCACTGAATTACAAACCAGTACGTTGATTTCATTTATAAACTTTGTATGGCTTCTGCTGATTAAAGATGATAAAAAATTCTAGATGAAATGAAACATAGGGTTTAATTGTTAGAGTAGTCAAGTTTCTCATATGGTTTGAATGACACGTACTACTCAATGAAGTTTAATGGTCACCTTAATTAGATGTTAAGCAGTTGGGTAAAGTCTCATTTTGCTTAATCAATATAGCCTGACAGGAGATGGAATATTGGTACTGAAAGACGTAAAATGGAAAGGGTAACTATGGAATAAATAAGTTTAGCATGATTGACCACTCAATTTTAGAAAATTAACTTTAAAGATATTGGTTGGCAAATTTATGGATCCTCAGATTCTAGAAAAATTTGAAGGATGTGGCTTCTTGGTAATAGGACCCTGATCACTGAGCCATTGAGTTCCTCACCCTTTCATTTCTTATTACATTAATTAGTAAAAAAGTAATATTAGTACACTACTAGACTGGTTGTAAATTGTTGGGAGTATGCATAGATTTGATTAGCTTGGGCAAGTTTACTCTTGCTGGGCAGAAATCTGTTGGTGATAATCACCTTGTCTTTTGTTCATGTTTATCATCAATTTTCTTTTTCACTATCAAGCTGTACCTGACTCTTTACTCCCAGCAGCTACCATTAAAGGCTACAGTTTTATGAAAAGATGGGAACAGAGACAGTAGAAACAATGTGAATGTATTAAAATTATTATTATATTTTTTCTAAAGAAGGTATGAATTATATTATAGTAGACCTTCATAGTGCTAATAATGGACTAGATCAAAATGACTCAATTAAATTCTAGTGCTTCTTCTATTAGTGAAGTTTCTAGAAACAGTCTCCTTGTATAATTACAAGGGTAAGGTCTGCGTACAACTAACCCCCCAGACCCCAACCAGTTGGGAATATACTGGGTATGTTGTTGTTGTTGTAGACCTTCAACTAGAAGGATAAAAAATGTACAAGCATAAAATTTTAGAGAATACATCAGGTTCTGGTTTACCTGAATGCTATCATGCCGTGAATGCTTGGGCGTGCTACTGTCAGGAATACTTAGAACCTAGTAGAGATGAGCTTATTATCATTATAATGCATTAGAAAAAATATTAACGCTCTGCAAGAGAACTTGGAAGTAGGTAGAAAGGTAATGAAGGGAACACAGCGGAAAATATAAGGTTCTTATATCTTACAATTTTAAAAACGAAAATACTGAGCCACTGATAAAAATGAAAAGCAAAGGAACACAAAAGTACTCACAGTTCCTTCTAGCATCTTCAGCAGAGCTTCCTGAACACCCTCTCCAGATACATCTTTGCCCATGTTGAGGCTCTCGGTCTGGAAAGAGCCTCCCAGAAGACAGTTCATCAAGAAACAACAAAAATTAGCTCCTCAGTTAATCACTTCAAATCAACTTATTTGAGATCTGCTACTACCAGACCTTCTTGGTTATCTTGTCAACTTCATCTATATAAACAATTCCACGTTGAGCTGCTTCAACATTGAAGTCAGCAGCCTGTAGATGAGATAAGATGGCAATATATTATACTAAGACCTCAAGGAGGGGCTGAAAAGCAAACAGATATGCTGATGCAATTTGACAAACATAGCACCAGCCTTGGCACATGTGTACTGAATGAGTCACAAGTATGCCTTGAAACATATGCAAACAGGCAATATTCCAAAGATGTGTTTCAGTCTGGCTTTGGGTGCACTTATGGTTTTAATATACACTACATAATTGTGTGTCAAACCAGGTAAAAATGGAAGGAACAACACAAGTTCAACTTCCTGCCAACTCAGAAAAACATTTATAGAAAGACTGAAAGAGGATTTTGAAGTAACCATTATGAATCAACATATTTTACCTTTCTTATAAATGGATCAGGTGATTATAATTAAACACTAGCCTTGAGTTCTTAAAATCTGCAGGTCTAGAAACCTAAATCTAAACACTAGGCCACAGCGATTAT